ATTTGGTGGGTACATTTTATCCACAGTGCTTCACTGAGGTACAAGTCAACACTTCAAAAAAGAAGAAATAAAAATCAGACATCTTTGGCTTTGATTGGAATGAAAGTTTTTAATCTGCCTTTCGGCTGTAATACCCTTTGAGCTGCACAGCAGCGAGCAGTAGATCTACAAGTATCTTTATTTGCATTTAACAGCAATGTAATACTCTCTTTTTCTGGCTGTAAATATTGCAATGGATCCTCAACTTTAGGTGTGTGTTTCTGTGTGCACTAGTCAAGTTGTTCTTCCTCTATGACCCCAGCCTAATCTCAGCCTTTGAGTTATTTTTATAAAAGAAGGGTGTATTGTTCTAGTTTGACCGGCACTATTAGTCAGTATGTCTGTAGGCTTTGCTGCAGTCATCCACCCCTCCACCCCAGGTGTAGAGGCTCAGAATCCATGTTGACAGGTTGTGTTTTTGTTTCTTTTTTTCTTTGAGACCAGTGGGATTATCTGAAACAATGCAACGGTCTTCTTATGTCAGTCTCACCGGTGTAGAAAGAAGGCTAGCATGTGACTCGGGCGTGCAAAATGTCAGTTTTATGTGTGCAGCCATTAGAGAAGCAGGCATGTACGGATTAAAAAGAACTGATAAGATTGGAGGGGTTGTGTATTTTGGACTCAGTTTTTAATTTGCATCCCACCTGAAGCTCTTCATTTTTCTCACAAGCAGAACAGCTTCACCAAGTTGGTCCGGTGTTTAACTGGGGATGTGCTGTACTGTGTTATAGATAAGCTTAGCTCACAGTGTTCTTTTTATCTTGCTTGTGGAAAGCAAAACATTAACAAGTGACACAATACTTGAAAAAGTCTTTAAGCAGTTTTGTTCTTTGGTCAATTAAATACCAGCTTCTTTTAGCCCAAGTCTTTTAATCTACACATATCTATTCACTGCTGCTGTCAGTTATTTTCCACTACATACAACTTAGTTTTCATGTTTTCCTGTGCCTGCATGGGCTTCCTCTGGGTGCTCTGTCTCTGGGCTGTGGAAGGAAACCATACTTGTTGGGTTAATTGGTGATTCTAAAGTGTGTGTAAGCTTGTCTCTCTCTATGATTGGCAACCTGTCCAGGCTGTACCCCGCCTCTCAAACCCAAGCTGAATAAGTGGTTCAGAAACTGGATACATGAACTGTACAATCCACTTTAAGATCTACGCATGTGGGATATGTTTAGATACTCCTAAGGCTCCATCTAATACCAGGAACTAGACTCTGGAACTAAAAGTTGTTTTATTTTTTAATGTGCTATTTCCTTGCATCTCTAAAAGTAGCTTGATAAAAGCAGATTTAAAAGTGTTCGGTTACTCTTGGGGAGTGCCCTAAAAGGAGCGACAAGATCAAAAAAATGCAACTACCTAGTTTTGCTATGCTAAACATGAGGTTATAAATTAGTTTGAACGCTAAAATCCAGGTTTCCATTCTCCTCTGGTAGCTCTGCTGTAATCGTGCAGTTGCTCTGGGTCCTTCTTGCTCTCCATCTCCCTTGACTACAACCTAAAACCTGCTGAAAGAAATCTCACGAGGCCACTGAAATCTAAATAGTTTTGACCTACTTGTGCTGTGTGGCAGATATATGGATTTTGCTGAAAACCTGATTCCTCATGTGCACCAACAATGAGAGCTTTCAACAGCCCCTTATAGCCTCTCCCTCTTCTTTGTGCACAACTTGCCTCCAGATTACTCTACCTGTCCACTTAGTACCAACACTACCAGTTTGTTAGTGATCCCTCAGCCCCCTTTTTATAAACTCAAACACTCTCTATCCATCCAATGGCCATGTTTTTGATGGAGGGTAGAAAGGGGATGATTTGCACTGCAAACAGAAGAGCAAACTTCCCCACCTTTGTAAAACTCTGTAGCTCATTTGGCCCCGGTTTGAAGTTTTGGTGCTTCTGCTGTGAGGGGGACCTTGAGTGAACCATGCCGCCTCTGCAACACCTTGACTGGAGAGGAAAATATCTAGGTTGACACCTTTTTGTAGTCTTCGTGTTTCCCTCTCACACTTTTGCTCTTTGATATTTTCTCCTCCTGCACTTCTGCATGCTCTCGCTCTCCAACTCAAGCTTCCTACCCCGCTCCCCCTTTGCTTCATCACTTAAGGCTGTTGTGGGTTTTTCACATGCTCAGCTACTTAGCAAGGTTATTAAGAGGTTCAACACCGTGACCTAAACCTGCAAACCACTGGTTTGCAGAAACAAGGGGGGGGGGGAGATAAAAAAAATAAAAATGAAGAATGCACGTGTCATGCCCCAGCTTAGTGTGTGACATCAACCAGCAAAAATGCATCCAGGAGTTATTTTCAGATTATTTTCTGCTGCCTGGTCATACATTAGCTTTAGGGTCGTCTCGAGCAAAGCCTGAGCATGTGCAACCTTCTTTTTTTCAATCAGGTAACCTTGTGGGATCTCAGAGAGTGGTTAAAAAAAGAGGGGGGGGGGTATTTTCATTGTGTGTGTGCACATCTGTTGGATTATGTGTTCCCTCCTTTTGTATGACACACACATATATACACACACTCTGGATTTTGGGGTTTATGGAGGAGGCCGCATGTTCTCAGCTGCTGAACACGGTGACTGTCTGGTTTACAAAGAGCAGCTTTCATAAAGGGATATTGACATGTTGCATTTTAGACTGACAAAGACAGCCTTTGAGAGTCGAGAGTTTGCTACTTGAAGACAGAGAATGATGACTCTTCTGGTTCTTACCTCATTCATCAAGAGGCTACCCAACTCCAAGTCATCTGACCTTGTTGATTTCAGTCGATACAGGACTTGTGCAGAGCTTTAGCCTTGAAAAACTGAGGTTTTCCTGTGGAGGCGTGCCTGGCACACGTGTGTGGGTGTGTGTGTGTACAGAGATTTGCAGGCCACAAAGTAATATTAAGCAGAGCCAGAGCTAGTGAGAGTGTTAAGTCATGAGGTAATGTGACAAAGGCAGTTTGTGCCAGAAATTTCTAGGAAAAGAGTCTTGGCTGCTATAATATCCACACACATGCTGTAAATCTACACTTTACTGTGCGTGTGTGTGCACGTGCAGTCAGTGCGCATTTGTGTTCGTGTGAATGTGAGAAAGAAGCAGTCTTAAAATGCACAGACTGAGAGTAAATGAAGTATATCTGTGTGTCTGTGTGTTGGGATGGGGGGGGGGGGGGGGTACGGGACGGGGATTTCCTTTGCCTTCCCCTCATGCATGTGTTGTTAGAACACAGTGTACTTGTAGCTAGTTACCAGGAATATGGGGGGTAGAGTGAAATTGAGTAATGTGATTGTATTTGACTCAAATTAACCAGGAATTGATCAGGAAAAAGATCCAGCTTCATCCTCATCAATACCAATATTTGATCATGTAAAAAAAAAAATCAATATTCTGTCATATCAGCCGATTATTTATTTATTTATTTATTTATTTATTTATTTATTTAAAGACACAAACTGTTAACAGGTTCTTCTAAAAATTGCCCACCTCTGCTCAGTTACAGTCGTTTTTGTGGCATTTCAAACACGTCTTGACATGAGGAAATTTGTAGAGTGCCCCCTGGTGGGCTGTCTGTGCAGTATCCATACGCCTGGCATGATTGAAGGGTGTTTCTCGCATCTCTTTTTTTGCTTTTTAAATGTTCATTTATTGGCCATTGTAAATGCAGATACAGATAACATCAGCCCAGCAATAAAGCAGTTGTGCTCGTGTATTTGTGTGTCTATAAAATTTGTTGTTGTTTTTTTGTTTTTTTTCTAAGGTTCTTAAAAACATTTTTTTAAAGGTCTTCCCACCAGCAGAATTTGAAAACTGCTTTCTAGTGTCATTAGGCATAAATACCACTCTGTTCACTGGGAATCCCTGCCATTCTTGGAAGATGCTCACCATTCCCGTCACATCTACTCTCCTACGGCTGCATTGCTAAAGATAAATTGGCCAAACGTTTGGTGTCTGTCAATATCCTCCATTTGGAAAGATACTGGCCTGTTAGCAACTGCAAGGACATTTATCAGTGTCAGTTGCAGATTGTGTCACGTTAATTTTACACTGGATATATGTTCAAAGATAATGTGAGAAGAAGCTAAGCAACTAACAGATATTTATTTAAATTAACGTTTTAGCATTTTGCACTTCCCTTATTTCTGATCTGCAGCGTAGCAAGTAGTCATGTGTTTCTTCTGTTTTTGTTTGTCAGTGGTAGTTGGCAGAAAACATTTGAGTGCATTCTGGCAATAGAAACTGCATTGTCAGGTTTTTATTGGCTCAGAATCGTCTCCAGGAGATGATTATGTAAGCAAGGATAGTCTGCTTAATGTGGTCTGTTACCTTGTTACTCAAAAATCGGTTTTATTTAGTTATTTTAGGGTTTTTTGAGAAATACAGATGTCTGTTCTGCTTGCGTAAATGAAGCCCCGATTTAAAAAAGGCTATTTAAAAATGCTAATTTTCCTAATTATTCCAAAACCTTTGTTATATATCATCAAGGAAAAGCATATATATTTTTGAACTAGAAGTAGTTGCGCAAGTCATTTGAGTTTAAAATATATGAAATATTCTTCCCATCCCTCGTCTGCACATGCACAATTCTGCAGTGACGTTCAAATATCCAAGACAAATGATATTTACGTGTGTGTGTGATGTTTGAGTGTGTGAGTACAAGTTGAGGGTGAAATCAGGGAGTACAACTGAGTGATCAGCATGTTGACGGTTAAAAGCTGGAGGGAGGTCCTTAATGTGTTTGAAGCTGTCCCCACCTTTGAACTTAACTTCCTGAGTTTAATTGAAGACCTCAGACCTTTGCTTTACTCTCTTTGAATCTTCCTATTAAGACTAAGAGCCTTAACTCTAGTCATGTTTACTGCTAGAGAGTTTTGAAGATGTGTGAGAAAGCATTTGTAGGAGTCAAACTTGAGTCTGTTTTCACTGTCGCAGCTCTTCACTCTGTCTCTGTCTCTTCTCTCTTCCCTGAATGCGGTTGACACAGGAATCCCTCCAAGGCTTTCTACCAGGCCTTCCAGTCTGGCAGCAGATTAAGAGACTCAAAGGCGCACATTGATAGGTACAGTACTGGATTGGTCCGGGCAGGCCTGCAAGAGTGTAACATTGTGTGTGCAGTGTTCAGTAGCAGCGAGCTTTGCTTTTTCCACGTGCATGGATTGAGTTTGGAAACGAAGCCTGGCTGCAAGCGCAGGATTAGCCAGTAGATTTCTCAACCGGCATCTCTTTGCTCTGTTATTTATTTTTCCCACTGCTTCTCACTAGCAAATTAACGCAGTCTCTTTTTAAGATGTCATATATTGTGTGTGTGTGTGTGTCACTTAAAAATGTGGTTTTGTTTACTGCCTGGGTGTCATTTTCATAGGTTTGGCCACCAACAATAATATATAATAATGGAACAGAGTCCAATAGGGCAGGCGAGCGATCGATTAATCGGATTATAAACAAGTTTAACTCGTTGATTAAAAAAAAATATTGTTAAACTATCTGACCAGTATTTTCAGTGCTACACTGATGAATTGTTTGATTATAAATCTGTTGACCAATAAAAGGTCTTCATGGGGAACGTTGAAATTTTTCAGTCGACCACTATTAATCCAACAGCTGACTGTTTCGTAGTGCAAACTCTAGGATAGTCTGGTAGTGTACACAGTTGTTGATCACAGGAATGGAGATGTCCACACTGTAGCCTTCTTCTGTAATGCTAAAGAGCAATATTGTGCTCTCAAACATCAAATACATCTAACAGCGCTTGACACTTCTAAATGTCATTCTGGTTAAAGTATTGTGAAGTGACAACAAAGAACATGAAACAACTCGATCAGAGCAGTTCTGCAGACTGATAGGACTTTTAAGCTGATGTTCATGGTTTAAACATGCATACAGTTCCGTGTAAAGCAGTAAACTGGTCTGGTGGCTCAGAGATGACTCCCTGTTCAGCGAAGTTTTTTATTTTATTTTTATTTTTTAAATTCTTAGAAAGTGCCTCAAACTATGAAAACAATCCAATGAAAATACTTTAAACTTGTTGTTTCAGCTTTAAAGTGGCTAAAAGAGGCGTGAAGAGTGTGTGCATGCTCTCTGCAACACTGGAGTTGAATATGAACCTGAGTAAAGCCAGGTTTCTAGTGCGCTCTTTCTGCCAAATGGTTTTTATTCACGGTTACATTTTAAATTCATCATGAAATGATTCATTTCCTACGTGACAGCGAGGTAAGTAGATGGCGTAGCGAGACAATCGGAGGGGCGAACATTTTTCTGATGCCATTTACAAAAATGAAAAGAGAAGCACATGAAACCATATTTCAGTGACAGGAAATGAAACTGTTTTAGAGAAATATACAGCTGACACACAACCAGCCGCTGAGGAACTACTCGCTCACACACATGTACGCACACACACACTTTCATGCACGCGCATATACACTAGTGTCAGCCCTTTTGGCGCCTTAGCTGCTTTGATTTAAATTTGAAAAGATAGATCAGCGTTGTGGTGGTGTTATCCAGAGTGTAATGCTGCGTGGCGTGCACGTGATTTCTACTCTTGGCTGAAGGCAGCAGCAGTGTAAGATGGCACAAATGTTTCGCCCCATGCATTCTTTTTTTTCTTTCTTCTTTTGGAGCGCCGTTGTTGTGGGTACATTGTCCCATCAAGGACTGCTTTTGTTTCCTTGGATGCAAAGATAACCAAAGTTTTGTTTGATAGATTTGGGCGATGGCCGTTTGACACGTGATCCGACTCTTTTATATGGTTGGTTTGGGATGATGTGTGAGGCGACCAGATGAAGGCGGAGAGAGTGAAAAATTAATATCCTGAAGGTCCTTTTTTTTTTTTTTTTTTTTTTCACCCGTGTGTTGGAAATGATGTTCCAGATGACACCCATCCGCTGGAATAAGACCACATGGGCTGCTATATCATAGCATCATTCCTGCATTTCTTTTTGTATAGAAGTGAAACCATCCGTTTCATGTTTGTTTACAGAGAACTGTGCCTCATCTATACTTCCCTAACATATGCAACCCTACCATAACTCTGATTTGTACTTTAAAGGGCCGTTTACATATGAAGCACTCAGGCCAAAGACAGTCAGCAACATAATTTAGGAGGGTTCAGAGTAAACTTCTTAACTTCTTGGCAAGTGATTGACGTGACTACCAATGACCGCGATTGACATATGAGGGGGTGGTAGAGGGTTACCCAGCCAACCAGAGCCTTTTGTCAGCTACTGACCAGTCGTAAGGGCGATGGTGGAAATGCTTCCTGTGTGGAGGCCTGTTTAACCTGAAAAACCTCCCCAAAGTAGATCTACATCAGTTGTATAGGAAATTCACCCATTTGATCATCTCCATGGGTCACATGTTCCCAACAGAAGAACGCATGTAGGGTCGCCTCTGTCTCCTGCCAGGTTTTTCATTTTGTTTACTTTTTTCTTTAATATATTTTTATATTTCCAGAAGAATCTGTTTTAGAAGAGCTTACAGGCAAGGCAACTATTGACCCCTGTCAGACCTGTGGGTGTATTATACAGATATTAGGGTAAACACACTGACACATTTGACAATATCAGCCTTGTTGAGTTATCAGCAAATAGAACGACATTTACAGATAAAGAGAGCAACAAAAACCTGATGTCTTAAAAAGGAAAACGTCTCGTCAGCTGTCAATTTTTTTTTTTAATTTTTTTTAAAATATCAGACCTGGTTCAGAATATTTACACTTCCTGGTATCATTATCCATTCATGACCCAATATGTGTTCATTTATTTTTGCATGCTGCCAAAATCGATCAACACGTTTAAAAATTTCGTTAACCACCAAGTCAAATAAAGCCCGTCAGCTTTCTTGGGTAATAAATATATACTGCTGCTTCATAATTACACCAAAGCCACGCTCGAGTTTTGAGGCTTGCTGTTTGGTTATAATTATAGCACTTCCTCATTTTGTTCTCTGTGGCGGACTGCCTTCCTACAGACACAGCTGTCTAATGTAACTGTGGAAGTTCACAGGTCTGTGATAAAAATGAAAGTAAATATTTGTGTGGTTGCAGTACCAAGCTGCTTAGAAAGAGAACACAGATTTCCCCCTTTAAATTGGGGGCGTCTTGTGGGCATGACACGAGAATATTGTCCCGTGCACCTGTTGTCCTTGGGCACATGATCAGCCTCGCCTTCACCTCCCAAGCTCTAAACTTGTATCATCATGTCTCTTTTTTTTTTTGCTAATGTTGCTGAAGGAAACTTAGTGGTCTTAAATATGGCAGCAGTTCTTTCAGGGAGAAGGAATGACAACTATTTGATGTGCAGATGACTTGTGCATGCCCGCCGCTCCACTTGCCCTGGTGCTAGTGTAAACCTCTCTAGCTCTAATGGACTTTTTATTGGCATTCCTGTTTTACAGCTAGCACTGTAAGGGAAACTGCAAACTTCTGCCGGGAGCTTATAAACTTCAGTCCTGTTGGTGTAGAAGGTGAAGTTTATTGGAGCGATCGGTTGTATAATCAGCGGCAGAGTAAGTTCAGACCCTCATCTGAGCCCAGCCTTTAGGCCTCCAGGATTTGACCCCACATACATCAGCAGTCGTACAGTGCTCGCTTTGTAATGCTGTCAAAACAGAGGAGGCGGCTCCGCCGAGCATTTAACGTGATTTGGTTCAAAGTCAGGCGCTCAGACTAGTTCTTGGCTTTCACAGGAGCTCTAGAGACTTAAACAAGATCATGTGTATCAGCAGAGCTCGTACCAGTGCTCCAAAACACTACTGATGGTGCGGTTCCCAAAAACCAAAAATCCCCTCCCTCCCTCCCTCAGTGCCAGTTGTTCTTGGAAGTTTTACTTCGAATACCAGATGGTCTCCTAATATGGTTTTGACTTGTTGTGAGTGTTTTGTTTTTTTTGTTTAGTTTTTATACATGCCTGCTTCAGTCTGTATGTCCAGTCATAGTCGAGAGGAGCTGCCCAAACCATCATGACTTAATAGAATCATATTTACCCACTTGTTCTGACAGACTCTTAATAAAGGTTGATTGTATTATTGTTTTCCAGTCTCCATAGTTACAGTTTGCTGGCTTGTCACATGTTTCCCCTGACAGTGCACATGGGGTTTTTTAGAGTTTTCCCGGCCGTTTTATTCTCTGATTTGATTACAATAGTCTCAACCCAGCTCTCTGAAACCAGCTGGAGGAAACCCCAGGAGAAAATGCTTCATACCCCCCTGCTTTAATTACAATGAGGTCATTTAAAGGCACTACAGAGGAGTATCACATTTAACCTTGGATGACAGTAGAGCTGAAACCAGGCTGGAAGTTAATCTGCAGCAGTTTTGATAGAATTTGCACAATATGGTTCCCTCCATTAACAATTGTTCTGCCATGTGAGTTGTCACATGAGGGTTGGACCCAGGTTTCCACCCTAACTGTAGATTTATCCAAAAATATGGAAATTTACTGTATCCTGTATAATCCACAAAGCATCTGGCCTTAGCTGTGAACATCTGTCATCGTTTTCCTGTCTCATCCCCGTCACATTTACAGTTTTTCACATCTTGATGAAACCTTATGAGGCCTCAGTTTTATCAACTTGACTTGCTTTTCTTTTAAGAGATTATATCGGCTCTTCTTATTTTGTCTTTGGCTGGTCCAATTCAAATCCTGCCGTTTGTCTTTCTCAAAAGTAGAACTTCATGCGTGGGTATAAGCAAGCTTTGGGCTCTAACAGATTCAAACAAGCCTGTATTTATACATGTGCAGCTGCAGAGTGTGATCCTGTTATTAGCAGAGCATGTTTTTGTTTGCTGTACTATCTGAAAACCACTGGTGAAGCAACAAGGGTGTAACCCAGCGAGTCCATTAAGGCTCAGTATTTTATAGACTGAGAGATTCCTCTAGGCACAGGCCTATTGAAAACTCCTGTTAGGGAGGAAAGCTATAGGAGGTCCTGAGCGCGGCACCACGTCTAAATTAAAGACACGTTTGGTACTGGGTGAAGCTGATGTTCTTTTCCTTGTTTAAAGTGTTTTGGTTGTATAAGCACTCATGGTGGGGGTCACATAATGTCTGAGGGAACGACATAAAGAGACGTTAATGAGCGAGTGCTGAATTTTATTTCGTGAAGTGATGGGCGTGATCTGCGCCTCTAGCCATGATTGCACCATGTGCATCTTGTTCATAACATCTGCATTTTTTTTTTTTTCTTCCCGTCATTGTGTGACATGCTGGCTTGGAAGTGGTGTTTGACATTATCATATCTGGCAGTGACCAGAGGTAGGAGTGGAGGACAGGGGTGTGAGTGACGGTGTTTCCCAGCAGCAGGAGTATGGGGAACATTCCTTCCACAGTACAGCCTGCTGATAAAGATCATCCGAGTCTTTCTGCCGGCCTCTCACACCCACACTAGTTACATGTAGAGGAACAGAACAACAGTAGGAGTCTACATGTATTTGAAGGCACCTTAGTACCGCGTGGTGGCAATGATTTTTTTCATAGCTTTTTGTTGCAGGTGTAAATCTGCATCTTATTACAGCTGAACTGATCCTTTTGTTTGTTTATGAGATCAGGAATCTTACTAAGACACAAAGTGATAATTAAAAATTAAAACACTGCTATAATAAGATTTTTCACCAAAGTACAGAGTTAGAAGATATGCAGCTGGACAGCTAAGCTCATCATGTCCCCCTGGTGGAGAAAGTATGTAATAACATCTTACTGATTTCTTAAAGTGCTAATTTCTACTTTCTGTATTTATATTGTTTGACTCAGCTAGAGCAGGTTTGCATGTTTTAGTTTCACCATTTTCAGCTCCTCTTAAGGATGAGGCCAACTTTGATTGGTTCCCTCCCACAAACAGCCAGACCTGTTTATGCCTCTGACACAGCACAGAGCTCACCTCATTATTAGAAACTTTAAACATCATTAACTGAATATATAAGAAATAGAAATAAATTCCTTATTTGGTTACTTATCTCGGTGATCAGTGATAAGAATAACTTCAGTGATAGTAATGTCTGTAAATCAATCCACAGTTAAATAATTCAGCGATATTTCGAATGTTCTCAATAAACCAGTATATATGTTTACTCCCATGAGCAAGATGGAAGATATTAAAAAAAGTTAATGGAACAAACGTGGATGGGGGAGGTGAATCCCAGAGGAAAACTGGGTTATTGTGCAGCTGTTGCACATATTCTGCAGACACAGCATATGCCTGCTTATAGCTGCCTCTGTAACATTTGGATGTAACAGTGGGGGATGATTGGTTTGATCAGCAAGTGTAGCTTGCAGTGGATCAAAATTATATTTTAAAGCACGTTCCACCTCGGCCATTTAACTTGCACTTGTAGCCCTGCCGAGCACAGTCGCTGCACTTATCAGTCACTATGAAGCCATCAGAGCCAGAAATAATTTCAGACATGTGTCCCCACCTCCTTCAGCTCCTCGCACTTCTCCTCCCATCGGCTCGTGTTTCATTATTCTAAATGCGGTCACAGTTGCCCAGCTAAACCGCCTCCGGTAGGCACCGATGATCTTCTGTGCGCTGCTACCGGTGGAGCTCCAGCAGCGCCATGCCGTGCACGTTTTCCTACAAACCACCGGGCTGCCCTGGGGACCCGACCCGGCTCGCGAGCTGCGATCCGCTGCCCTCCTACCGCACACGCCGCACGTAAGAGCGCCGCTCCTCCTCCCCGCGTGGTTGTAGCTGTGTCTTCACGTTGTAATGGATTTACAGGAGTCAGACCAAATAGCGCTTAATCATAGCTACACATTGATGTGAATCTGGGTGCATGAATATTTGTTTCCAGCGGTGGGGTTAGCTGGCAGCTGCCTTTGGAGATTTATCCGCACGGTCCAGTCATCATGGCTGTTAAACAAACGGATGCATCATTCAAACAAACTTGAGCCTGTTGCCGGGGCCCGGTCTCGTGTCATTTCTCCTGTAGGAGGCCAGGCGTAGATGTGAGAGTGGTGACTGGTGCTTTTGTGTGATCTGACCTAGATGCCTGAGGCGCCTTGTTTGACTGGTCGACCACCAATGTGTCATCTGGTTTCGCTTTTTATCTGGGCTTCTGCTTTATTTCAAGTTGGATTAGTATTTTTGTCCATTTCAATAGAAGTCAGTATTTTCCATGTTTCCGATGTGTTTGGGAACACAAAAGCAGGAAGAAGTCAAATATAGAAAGTAATCATGATGCGATTGTTTGTGTAACTGTACTTTATCTGTCTTTTCTTTTTTTGCAGTGCCTCTGGAACCAATGTTGTTGCCATTGATAATAAAATTGAACAGGCTATGGTGAGTATTCATTTTACCACTAATCATATATGCGTCTCTTTTAAATGAAAAGCTTAGGAATGAGTTCAATGTAGAGAGTGTATACATGTAATAAGACAATGGCTCCTACCACTGGTTAGTTCCCACTTCATGTTTCCCTCTGCTCTCCTTCAGGACCTGGTGAAAAGCCATCTGATGTATGCAGTGCGCGAAGAGGTGGAGGTCTTAAAGGAGCAGATCAAGGAGCTGTACGAGAGGAACTCTGTGTTGGAGAGGGAGAACGCCGTGCTGAAATCACTGGCCAACAGCGAGCAGCTGTCTCAGCTGTCCACCCAGTCGACCAGCAGCTCGGGCGCCGCGGCTTCCCAACCAGGACTCAGCCAGCCTCAGCAGCAAGCCCAGCCGCCGCTTCAAGTTCAGCCTCCGTCGCAGTCGCACCCCCAGCTTCAGCACCACCCCCAACCCCAGCAGCTCCAGACTCAGCCGCAGCTCGATCCCAGCCAACAACTGCAACCCAACGTCACCTCTGCTTGAAAGCGCATCAAAAACCAACAAAAGAAAAGCAGAACAGCATCTTCTCTACAACTTATTACAATTAGTGTATGTGAACTTCTTAGCCACCAGCTTGACCACAAAGAGTACAGTGCTTCTGTGCGAGTGTGAGTGTGTGTGTCCGAGTGAGGAAGCAAGACTGTGAATTGCTGTTAGAATGTGTGCGTGTATGCATCTGTACTGTGGGCCTTTCCAGTGTTAATGCAATCATCAAGAGTGCAACAGACGGACTGAGACAAAGTGTTCAGAGTAGAGTCGGGGAAGGTTGAGGGTTTTTTGTTTTGTCTTTTTGGTTCTTTTGTTTTTTCCATTTTGGCTGTATTCCCAGATTGGTTAACAGCTGGGCTTGTAGAGAGGATGTCTTTTCTTGGACCGGGCCCGAGCCAAACCAACCTGTGACCTGACCCGAAACCAGTAGTTGTTGTTGTGGAAAGCGAGGGGTTTGCCGGACAGACGGGGAGTGATTGTCAAAAAGAGAGCGATTATTTTTTTAAATGAGATAATTGAAGGGGAGGGGTATTTTTAGCCTTGCCGTTTCATGTTGTAAAGAAAAAACTGGGAGTGTTTTTTTTTTTTTGTTTTTGTTTTTGTTTTTTGTTTTTTATTTGTCTCCTCCTCCTACTCCTTCTTCCTCGGAGCGCCACGCCGCTGCCGTTACTAAGTCCAACTCTTGCATCACTCTTTTGAGTTCTACTGTTAAGTGTTTTTATTTATTACAGGGCTGCTATTTTTCATAAATGAACAATTTAAACAACAAAACCTATTTAACAGGAGCCCAACGACCTGTTTCCTCTCTTGCTTTTTTCCCCCAGTGTTTGAACAGATTGGCCACACATCCCAGACAACAGCTTTATATATTTGTGAAATGCCGACAAACAGAGAAAAATTCTGACAAATGTTTAACACTAACCCAGATTTTTAAGGCTGCAACTGCCAGTTCGTAGCTCAGTCCAGATCCAGTTTGAGTGTATATTTTTGTATAGCATGATGGACTTTTACCCACCGATATCAAATCTTAAGGCCTCCGGTGAAAATTTGATAGGCAAAGGTGAATTAGTATTGCCACGTCCCCTCACTCACTCACATTTTAGTTCTCCATTGGTTTTCCTGAAACGGGGTAGGTGGGTGGGGGCACGGGCACGGTGGCAGTAGTGAAAACACGTACTTTGTAACCAAAGATCCAAAGCTGTGTAAATTTATTTTGAAATGCACACACACCTTTTTCTTTTCTTTTTTTTTTTTTTTCTTTTTTCCCTTGGTTCTCATTTGTTACTTCCTCCTTCACAGAATATTTTTGTTGCTGTTCAGCATGTTCTGCATGATCTGTAATCTTCAAACCACTTTCTTACCTCATTTTTATTGAGCACTCTTATTGTAAGATAGT